CGCTCTTCCGATAACCCCAAAACCCCAAAACCCCGAGAGGCTATATAGTAAGGACAAAATAGATATTATTAAGTTTAAATAAATAATTAAAGAAATTGCAACATATTTTGTATAAATATGGCTTAAAGGGATTACTTGAAAAAATTTAAAATCGATTCTAAATAGCAAGAGCTTTTCGAAAATTGTTGTTTTCCAGACAAATCTACTTTTGTTGAATCTATAGAAAAGTCTCAAAGAATAAACAATATAAAAGATCAGAGAGATTATTTACGTTGTGTTAAATGTAAAGAAATTGTCACAGAGCCATAATCATGCAGAAATTGTAATGCTCTATATTGCAAGTATTGTTAAGATAAATGCATGCGGGCTTTTTAGACACCATGCTATTCTTGTAAGGTGGTCGATTTCAAACTAACTTAACTTGATGAAGATACCTAGTAAAGAGTAAATAGAGAGAGATTTATTGGGTGTACATATGAAGATTGCGAAAAAAGTAATTAATCAATGACTTATTAAGAATTGCTTACTCACTACCAACTTGAATGCAAAGCTATTGATGTTTTATGTCCCTTAGGATGTGGTTTTTATTTTAAGAGGCAAGATAGAATGGACCATATTGGAAGATGCATATTCATTAAATACAGTTGCAGAGATTGTGGTGTCTAAATGACTATAAAAGAATCGGATCCGAACTCTCATAATTGTTTCTCTATCCTTCATCAGATAGTAAAGTAGTCTAAGTATATGTATCTAGATATCAAGAAGGATTTTGAATCTTATAAGAAGGAAATTGATGCTTAAAATATTCGAATAGTCTAAGAAATTTCTATTATGCCTTAGCAACCTAAATATAAAATGACTTTCCTTCATAAAAATCCATTGAGGAGAATGACTTTCAAACAAATGAAGGAATGTTACGATTACAAACCTAATAAATGGTATTGTGATGCCTATCACTTCTAAAGATGTTAATAAGGTAAAACGATCACTGATAATAAGATTAAATTTCCTGATGCAATATTCCATCATTGTCTGAAATGTAAGGTAGGGTACTGTAATGAATGCTTTCCTTATTATGGAAATATTCATCCTCATCCTCTTTTAAAGGTTAACATCTAAGATCTTCAAGAATATGATCTAGAGACTTATTAGTTAGGTCATTAATGCAGTGGCGTTAGATTTTAAGGATGCAAATTCATTGGTAAGCCTTAATCAAATCCTAATGAAATTCTTTACTATGACCATTTGTTGAATTTCTTTTTATGTAAGTGATGCACAAATAACTACGAGGTCCATCCTTTTGAATACTTTCAACCTGGTCATGATGAAGATATGCAAAAAGTACTTGATAATGTCAGATAAAAGAGAGAGATTGATAAGAAAGAATTGAGATAGAAAGTAATTGATCATTTTAAAGACTAACCCACTCAGACTGCTGAGGTTTAATTTCATTAGCACCCTTTAAAACTATTGAGATTCGCACAGATTCAGGAAATTCATGGTCCTGAGATAGGCAATTATTGGTCGTGCAATGGAGGAACTCGTACTAATGGCTGTGTAACCAAATAAAATAGGGGCCACCCTATATTGAAGCCAAATGAAATACTTTATCATTGCTCTGATTGTTCCTTTGATCTGTGCGAATAATGTAATCATTCTCATGGACACAGACATCCTCATTTACTTGAAAAGCTAACTCTCTAAGAAGTTGCTAAGAAAGATTTAATTTATAACCAGGGCTTTATTTGCAAAGGCGCAGATTTTAAGGATTGTTTTCTAGGAAAATAAAATTCAAGCGATGTAAGAGATGTAGTTTATCACTGCTAATAATGTAAGTTTAACTTATGCTATAAGTGTGTGGAGGTTTATTAGATTTAACCTAAGATTAACTTGGAAAATCAAAATTTATATGGCTTTAGAAGATTTTGAATTTGATTATTTAACTCAATTTATTTCGTTTACAAATATTTTGCTATTGGGGTTTTGGGGTTTTGGGG